CGCGAGACACGTACTCGCCGATTTCAATGCGATACTTTCTGGCTCCGATTCGACATATCTCGATCCGGTTCGCCCACGAATACCCGGGGCACCACCACCGATGCCCGGCGTATGAATATGCAACGATAAAGCGCGATTTATTTATAAGTATGACGCCGGGAGATCGATCCTTCCACCGGCGATCGCGAGCGGAAAATCGCGTGCGTTTTACGATCAAAATATACAAGATTATGTGTTGGGAAAGTGATATCCGGTTACGATATCGAATGCTTTTTCTTTTTATTTCACCTTTTTTATTATCTCAGCTTGAAATAAAGAGTAGAATTTAGAAGAAATTTTTGAAGATTTTTTGCAAATTAATATATAAGCGTGTTACGCGACAAAAATTGGCGTCTAAAGGGTTGTCGTGGACACGAAGTGGGTTAATTTCGACGACGCGCGTGTCCTCAGGGCCGCCTCGCGTCTCGCCTCGAGACCGTAAAAGACCCGCTTTTATGGCCCGGCAAAAGCTGAAAGTTACGATCTTGCTTTTCATTTAATTAATCTCACCGCGTGACCATCTTACACACGGACCGCCCTCGAAAATCGGGGACGATTGTGCGCTCTCTGCCTTTACAATGCAGGAGCCGTTCGCCGTAGCATGATGAAAAACGCGGTTTCCGCAGTCGCGTAATTGGCCGTCGACTTTTCAAAGTGCGCGGAACACCAATGAGCGTGCGGTCATATAATTAAATCCGGTAAAGGCGCGCCGAGTCTCCGCTTCAACCGGGTTTTGACTCGCCGATAATACGCGTGGCTTTCGGCGTTTAGAGGAAAAAGCGCGAATGGCAGCGGTTATGTGTCGATCGAAACGGTTTTTCTTCTTGTTCAACTACCTCCTCGAATCCAAAAGTAACGATCGACGTCGTAAATCCATCTTGTTAACTTGCTTACAGGGAGATCGATAAAAGACGACCGATAAAAAACAGATGTGCTTGTTGTCGAATATTATAGTCCGTATATTTTCTGAATATGCAATATGTGTGTTAACGTAAGAGAAGGAGAAGAAATGAAAGAGAGAAAAATTTAAACGCATATTTCCAGAGTAAAAGTGTCTTCATAGCTAAGTGGTTGCAATAAATCGTCAAGAGAAGATCGAGCCTTATCTTAATACGTAACGCATTTTTCTTCAATGTACTTATATTCAGCGTGACAAATGTAACGTTTCAAAGATTGCAATAGTGGTAAGCGAAAAAGGCAAGAGAAATTAAATTTTAAACAAAAATAAAAGTAAACTTTCCTAAAAAACTCTGGAAAAAAAATATATTCGTATCGCCTTGATACTCATACAGATATGTCGATAACGATTGCGGGCTTCCGCCATCATGATACGAGTTTACGGGAAAAAGGAAGCTGGATCTCTTTCTTTTAATTACAAAATCTCCAAGACATCGTATGCACTTTATCGCCGACGCCAATTAGCGCTCGACGAAATTCGTTTCCGCTCGATTCGTTTCACGGTGAAAACGTTTTCGCTTTCACGGTGGTGAATTTAGAGAGCTAAGGAATTTTTAAAAAAATGTCAAGAGCCTGAATCTCTGATGATATCTTTCACTGTTGAAAACGAGATAATTTATGTTACTATTTATTCACAAATTAATTATATTATTTACAGAAATAACCGCGAATTAAAATTTTTTTCTGAAATAAGTAATAATAAAAAAGATCTAATTTTTTAAAAATAACTCTTAGTACAGAGCAGGGACTTTAATCCTTATTTAAAAATCCGGCACTGTTTTGTTATCAGAAAAAAATAACGATTTTTGTAACGATCAAACGAGCTTGTCGTGTGGGACGTTCCATTAATGATGATGTCTCATTAAACGCGCAATTGCAGCGCTACTCGAGGTTATCGGTTTCACAGGAAAGGAGACCCCTTCAGATACATATATACACAGCGCATAATTCTGACATAATTTTCCATTACGAAACGAGCGCACCGGCATAACGAATGCATGCATCGTCGTCGATTAGGACGAGATACGCTGATAATTAGCTCAATGTAATCGGCGACCGACATATGTTAAATGCGCGATATATTCACGAATAAGCATTAAGAAATTCATTATATTCCTTTTATAGCGCTATAAAATAGAGATACGATCAAGGCGGACCGAATATATCCTTACACGTTATCAATAGTTTGTCGAAAATACTTGATACTCTGTTGCAAAAAATCTCGCAAATTGTGAAAAAGAATTAAAAATAATTGAGAAAAAATGTAGCACGTAGTAATGGATACAAATTAAATAAAGAATTGCTCAATTAAAAATATTTGTCAATGTCTTAATTTTATCGCGAGTCATAATTATATAGTCGTAATGTGTTTACAAAAAGAAATGATAATTAAAACTAAAGTTATTTTTATCCAAATATATCAGTTTCTTTATTTTCTTCTTTCTTTACGTAATCTTTATTCGGCTTTTTAAAACGTCGTGTAGAAATAATTAGATAATATAATCGATTCGCGAAAATCAGTGAAAAAAGCCGTTTTTAGTCAGACAAAAAAGATTCAAGAAATATTTAATCATTCATAGTATTTGTATCGAAAATTTCGAGTCACACTCGATCTGGTTAGAAAGAAATAGAAATTAATATTCATCGGAAAAGAGAAATTCGAGAGATGTGAAGGAAGAATTACGATGGATATTTTGTAAAGCGCCTCAAATCGGCCCGCACCCTTCTGCTACGAGAATTTACGACTGTCCACGCGAAAGCGTAGGTAATCGGCGATGATATCACCGTTATAAATAGGCACGCCTCCTGTCTCTCGCGTGCGCACATACACACGTGCGTGTACACGATCCGCACACGCGAATCTGCACCTACCTGTCGGACTCTGTCTCTTTCCTGCAGACCGCCACGCATACATGCATACGTAAATTTAAAGGGACGCATAAACACAAATATGTATATATATACGGATGATCGCATAATATCGAAAACACGGTCGCCGAATTTCTCAGAAACCTGTCAATAATATTGAAAAAATTTAGAGAGAAAAATCTCTATTTTATTTATATATATTTTTAAATCAAATGATTGATTAAGATTAAAATTCAAATTTTAATCGATGTCTTAATTTACACGTTTCTTAAATAAATTTTTGTGATACGTTTTTCGAAATTTTATTTGAGGAGATATAAAGATTGTCATTAACGTGATTTCCATGGCTGTCCACGGGCATTATGTTCTTTCAGGTGCACGTAAAAGTGGTACGTGCACATTGTTCAGACGAGCACACACGCATTGCGCGATTGAACGATGCGCGTCCTTCGCACAGCCTGTGAAGGGAGAGCGTTTCAAGAGAGCCTGATGGCAAGAAATAATTGCAGAAAAAGGCGTCTGATAAAAGCGACAAAATGACGTTCTAAAGAGTGTCCGAGCGATGCTTTCATAGCTTTAATGAGAATCGCTCGCGATCATGGCACATCGATGTGTGTATATTATGAAATTTATGAACGAAAAAAACTTGGCACGCGAATGATTCACCGGAAAAAAAATTTAAATCGACATCATTTATATACATTTGCTTATGATCACGATGCTGAGACCAGCTTCTTTTTAATCGATGTATAAGTTAAAAGTATTTCAGATAATTTATGCACAATCTGTTGTATATGTAAATCTAAACTATTTCGTAAAAATTTATAAATGATTAAAAATTTCTGGGTTTTTATATGAAATAATTTTATAATTCTTAGTTTCAGTAAATAGTTTTGAACAGAAACTATTTATTTAAACTATCAAGAATGATAGAATCATTGAAAATAAAAAATCAGAACTCTTAATTATTTGATATAAATTTCTATGAAATGATACATCAGCATTCATACATACGAAACTATTGAACACTTGAAAATAAAAAAATAAAGACGTTGTTTTTTAGGAGGCAGAATTTTTAAGTTCTAAATGTTTCTTAAGAAAGATTGATTTAGAAACTATTTTATTAATTCATAAAATTGAAAGCGAGAAATTATATTTATTATTTCGCAGACCTATATGAATAAAAACATCTCTCTGTCGAGAGAACTGATTATTCGCATTAGAAATTCGCCATTGAAAAAAAATTCTATACAATCGCGAGGTAACGTCCATGTGACTGATGCGTCTATCCTACACCCGTGGGAAGTTGCGTTCCGAATACAAAACGGGTCTCTAGCTTGAGGAACGCTCGAACGACACCGGTAGTAATAACGGAAGTGGCGAATGACCCGGAGAACTGTACGGCGAATAAAAGTTCCGTGTGCGCCGCGGAGTATTTTTATTATTTTTGTTATTTTACTTTAAACAAATTATATTTCGAATCGATGATCGAGCAATGCGCGCGGCCGAATAACGAGCGGATGATTACAGTCGTCCCGTAGGGCATAATAGCGAGCTGCTTGCAAATGTTAAAAAGAACCCTCTCTCCATCTAGCTCTTCCACTGCGAGCCATCGAGAGGATGCTCGGTACATAATATTGCAGAATATATAACTGCAACGACGTGCACGATGCAATGTGCTCGCGCACGGACAGCTCGAACTACATCGCATAATAAGCGAATCCTGTCGCGCGCGCGCGATTATTCGATCGGAAGCGATCGCAACCCGTTAACTGTTTGTTCATCATTTATTCCGAACGTCGAGAGACGACGTTTCCGTCTCTGCGACGAGTTGCGAAATAAAGTGCGTCAGCAAAGTTCGAGGACAGAGAGTAAAGTGGATTAAGAAAAAACGCCGAATATCGATGGATCTTAATATACATGAAATTCCAAAAACCCTCTTTCATCTACTTTATTGTATAATATATAATCTAATAAAAACCACGAGATATCTTTGCAAGAATAAAATTAAAACCGCGTTCAAAAAATAGATGATTGCATCACGAATTATGGGTAAGAGAATTTTACAGAGTTTTAAAGGATATTGAAATTAAGATTCGATTAATATTCGGTCGGATAATAAATGGTGTACTCACATTCCTTGTTGCGATCCATGGCGTGCTGGAGGGGTGAATCGTCGACCTCCGCCTTCGGCGACTGATTGCCCTCGGCCATCTCCGATCCCGATTCTGGAGCAGCTGCACCAGCGGTCTTCCTTCCTGCCGTGTCCGCCGCTGCTTTATCCCGCTGCGGCGAGGACTTCGTCCCTTTCTTACCGTTTCCAGTGTCTCTGCAGACCCGAAACGAGCAAAATGAGATTTGTGAATTAATCTTTCATACATCGCCGCGTCGCGTCGGCTCTCGAAGAGATCGGAGCCCGCCGATCAAAGTCCCGAGTGTCAATCGGATCCCGGGTCCTTCGCCGTCGAGGCATGTTTTTGCCGCGGATGATGGAATGACGGATCAATCGACACTCGACGTTTCCATCAAAAGCAGCGGAAACGACCGCTCTTTTCTTTCTCTTCTCAAACGCGCGACGCGAATCTTATTCACCGAAAAAGAAATGTTTCCGATGATATTCGAATTATATCCACATCGAAAATTGTATATACCCATACATACAGATACATTTAATCTTGAAAAAATCTAGCGATATATTATATGTGCATTTTTTCAAGTTAAAATTTCACGAATATATTCGATTTTAAATAAATTAAAAAGAAATCGAATTCTTTAATATTACAGCACTTCAAGTTTCCAGATGATAACGCGAATATATTTTCTATCGATCCATTCTCAGAGATAACACAAGTACCGTATAAAACGAACGACGCGTAAATATTATGAAATAAATGTCGTGGAATATCTTGGATATAATATACAGAGAATATCGAGTCGTGTTCCTCCTCCGGCGAAAGGGTAAGAATAACCGTTTTAGTCATCGGAGGGTGAAAACATTTATCTCGATGGCCCCGACGATGGCTCCGCGAGAGAGTCTCGTGAGAGTCCAGGTGGTTTCGCGACGCATAAGAGACGATATCGTGAGCATCGCGAGCAAAATGTCACGTTGAAAAAATTGGCGAAAAGATCAGAGAAAATTACGCGCGCTCCGCATGGCTCCGTAAGTAAGTGAGATAGGTATAAGGAAAGTGGCGAGTCGATTAAAGATTTTAAAGCGTCGGAGAAGCCAACGGTCCGAGCGCGAGGTAGTTTAAGATCCCGAAGGGAAAGTTCCGAGAAAAGATTACTTCGTCACAGCTGGAGATAGGAAGCCGGTCGTTAAGAGCGTTTATATTCTCGCGTAACGATTACACGCGGTACTGATACTAAATTGCGGGTTAATCGCTCGCTCCGGCGCGGTTCTAAACGCGCGAGATCTCGCAACTCGCAGCGGCGGATTAAGGCACGTGGAGGCCCAAGGCGTTCGCGCGAAAAGCAATTCTAATCCCATCCATTTAAGGATTTTGCACTATCGGAGGTCTCTCTCTCTCTCCAGTCAAACGTAAATAAATCTTATTTAGTTATTACGTGAAATCGAATATCACCATCAAATACTCAAGTGTCATCAAATTGATGAAATTAAATCTCGCCGCGTAATCGTGTGTGCCGTGTTGATTAAAAAATATATACATTACTACAACATTATATATATTATTTCCAGTATTATTGGCATTAAATAATAATTTGAACCACCGAGTTCACAAGAGTCCCCTGGATAATCCAAGTTGCAGCTCTTAGCAGCTTGTCTTCTCCTCTTGCAACCGCGATCTTACAAGGTCGCGCGCCAGTCGCGTTCTCCAGCCGCGAATTAAGAGAAATAATGTCTCTCCCGAGATAGTAATGACGCGGTGGACGCGCGACAAAACGTTAGGGAGGCCCGCGTGGAGCTTGTTAAAATAATCGAGGCAGGTGTCGAGCGACGCGACACGACGTCTATTTTTCGATCGCGATAACGTCTCGCCTCACGCTGATCGAGAAATCGCGGGCACATACTTTGTTCTATTTATACGGGATGTCGCGCACACACGTACCGGTTATACTCGCGCCGCGGTATATAGAAAGTGATAACGCGACTCGAATATTCTCATTTCGCGATTTCACGCGGTTTTATTAATATTCGGGCGATATAATTCGAGTTTCTCCCGACGAGAGAGTCTCTCTCTCTCTCTCTTCTCTCTACGTCGTGCAATCTGCATACGGCGCGACATGCAAATTATCTCACCTCTCGTCCTTGGCGTCGCGCCTAGGATCCTTCCTGTCCCGGTCCTTATCCTTGTGGCCGTCCGCTTTTTTCGCCTTGGACCTCGACTTGGCGTCGCCTTTGGCGATCTTGTGCTCGCCGCCGCGTTCGGTGACGACGACCACGGCGGCGCTTTCGTCGCAGGATTGTGCGCCGGAAGCGCTTGAGGACGTGGGGGACGACGATGCCGATGCCGCTCGGCTGTTAGTGTAATCCTGCGCACGAGGAGCGTACCTCGTTAATCCCGCATTCGTTCAACGAGCGCGCCGAAAGGCTTGATTGATGGCGCCCGATTCTGATAGGCGACCAGGGGAGAAAAAAAGAAGCTTCGAGCTTACCTTAAACCACTCCGGATATATCGCGCTGATGGTGTCCAGAAGGTCCTGGTCGAGTTGAATCCTCCAGAACGGGGAACCGCTGTCCAACCTGTGGCCAGACTCTGAAGCACAACAAAATATTGCGAAAGATTAATTTAATTAATTGCAGATGTAAAAAACTGTGAAGTCACCAGATGATAATTAAAAAATGGTAGTGATTTAATCGACCAACTCTGGCAAAATAAGTGATCTTTATTCAATATTCAACTTATTTTGCCAGAGTTGGTCGATTAAATTACTACCATTTTTTAATTAATTGCATATAATAAAAATAAATATAATTGTATGTGATGAGGTATAAATATGTCATCGCTGCGCGAAGAGACGAGAGGATTTGAAATGCGCGAGTCTCGAACTCGCGGCGCGAAGGATCGCGGGTCGGGCCCTTAAGAGTCATTCCTGCCGCAAAAGGGCTAATAATGCCGCACGAGTACGATACGCCCAAAAGGCGTATCAAAACCCCGCGGCACGCCGGTCTCGTTGGTTTCTTTCGCGCATTCCGAGGGATTCCCTGCCTAATTTAAACGTTCGCCGAGTATACCGAGGGATCACCCGGCGGGATGCTGAGGAGGCAAAGGACGGGCTCGAGAATCGCGTCACAATCCTTGCGAAGAAGGAGGATGAGGAAAAGAAGGGTCTCCTCGTTACGGTGACATTCTACGGGCGGGACGCGTGCCCAGCCTTCGTAATCGAGGATCGAGGAGAGTGAAAAATGAGGAGCGTTACTCTCCAGGGACTTTCGAATACTCCGGTCGGCGACGGAAACGCGATTTTTTGCTCTTATCAATTTCAAAAGATATAAACGCGAATAAAAAGGAGCGTTCAAGTCTAAGATATTCATCTCTAAATCATTATTTCGCAATTTATTGTGATATATATTTCGTCACTTTATATTTCAATTTAAATTATTATAATTATTTTTATAAACACATGTCAGCTAATTTTTTGAACACTTAGCGCTGAGACACGAAGCGGCAAGAAATCCCGCGGAGGGTAGGAGAATTTCACCTTAACCCAATAAATGATTAGTGTGCCGGGAGAGCGGCATAAACGCTCAATCAGTATGCGCGTGCAGCGGACAATCCGCTGTAAATCACGCGCCGTGAATCATTCGCCGACATAAATCTAGCCGCGCTCTCTGATCAATACGCTCCTAACCGGTCCGACACATTAGTTAAACGCGTTACTAGAATCGTCGTGTCGTTTTACGGGACACACGTCTCGCAGGGTCCATCCCGCATGTGGGATGCGGCCTGCCTCTTCCACAAAAAAGCGCCTCGGCGATGCCGATGGTCTAATAGCGCCGATTCGAGAATCCACGGCGTAAAGCGATACATCATCCGCGTCTCTTCGATAGTTCATCGGATAGATTTATCGGATGTCGTCGCGATCTAGCTCGGGGTTAACGACACGAGACTCGTTGATATTAGTTCAAAAGAGCTTAAGGGGATTCTAAACGTCCTTCAGAAGTCTGTTGTTTCTTTCCTGTTTAGATAAGCTATAAATCTATTTGTCGACTATACGGATTGTTTTTCTGTAATCAAGATATATGAGGCTATACAGAATGATAAATCTTTTTCCTGTACAAAATTAAAGTATTAATATTAACAAAGGGCGAAGCGTTCTAATTTCAGGTAAAAATATAAATAGATTTATATTTATCTACCTTCACATTTTGTCGATAAAACAGGAAAGAAACAACAGACTTTTTAAGGACGTTTATAGGATCCCCTTAATGCAGCGGGGAAAAGCAACGATCGAATATAGGGATACAAGAAGGGATGAATCTCTTATTCGCGATAGAAGCATATTTTGCGAAGGATTCTGAATGCGAAATGCGTTCGTCGAAGGCGACATCGGCGGCGGCCGCCGAAATTCGGGCAAATAAATCTCGCGCCCTTTTTCACCGCCCTGGTTGTTTTCTCTCGGTGATCCTATCGCACGATCCAGTTGCAGCCGCGTGTACACGTACGCGTACATATTAAGGGACTTCGCGATGCGTTCACGAAGGGAGCACGTGCGTGTTGTTTCTCTGCGAGTCCTCTGATGTGAGTCACCTCGTCAGAGGCTACCCGCCGCGCACTGGTAGCCGCGAAAAACTGCGCGTTGCACTTCGGGAATGTCGTCGGCATGTACAGGGTGTTCCCCTTCATCGCGATCGTCGATCCACCCGACAAGAACGACGCTGCGCGAGTTCGCTCTTCGGATCATCTCGTTCTCTCTCTTTCTCTTTTCTCTCTCGTGCGTTTATACCTTTTTTCTCTTGCCCTGCTCTTCGTGGAATCACCGAAGATCCAGCTCCTGCCGATGATCGCGCAGTCGTTGCGAAGATTCCGCGGTTTCGAGACATTATAGCTTATCAGTTATTTTATTTCATTTAAATAGAGATACGAAACATTTTGGACATATCACTTAATTATTGCTAACAATAAATTGAAATCATTCTTCTTCTTCAGATTTTTCTTGCGCAGTTTACATTAATTAATTTTTAAATAAAGATCTTTTTTATTCTTGCTTTGTGTAGCGCGAGCAAGTTAGCATACGTGAGTTATGATAAAGAGGGATTGAATTTTCTTCTGTCTTATTGCAGTCGAGTTAAACGTACGAGAGCGCACTGGCCGGAGAAAGGATTTGGGTGGAGAGCAGAGCATGAAGAAAACAGAGAGGAACCCTCTTCAGTGCGGGAGGAGATTCTCTTACAATAGCCGCAAGCTTTGCCGCTCATTAGAGGCGAGGTCGTGGGTCACGCTTTGTGCGCTTCGTTCCTGCATATATGTAAGTTACATACAAAACAATATCCACGCACAGAGATCCCTTTTCCCTGGATTATATACCGAGATTGCTTTACAGCGGGCCACAATAGACGTAATATCTCTGATCTGAAAATTCAACAATGCCCCAACTCTTTTTTTCTATCGAAAACGTATACGTATATTCGTACGTTGCGTCTCTCTACGTGTTTCTTCTTTTCTAACGACAAAAGAGTTCAAAATGTCTTTTCGTTTATTTTTCACGGTAAACAAGTCGACATGCGTAAAATATCAATATAATAGACGTGACGGCAGTTGAGGTCGCGTATGACAAAATTAAGAAACGAATCACGAGGTACGTCAATCGCACGGCTCGATGGATCTCAGATACAATCTTTCCCGTCAGGTTTATCGTCATTACTCTCTCGCGCGCGAGAGAAACCGGTTTTCCCTCGGTAGTACAAATATCACTGCAAAGACAATAATGATGCGTGAAACAAATTAATCGCGGAATGCGTTTCCGAACGTACGCATCTCCGCGCATTTCGATAATTTAACATCCCGCCGGTCGTAAAGCTCTAATCGACGCTGGCACGCGAGGAAGATCAGGGAAGTCTCGAGGGAGAGGTATCAACAACGTTCGAGGGATCCCGAAGAATCGCTCTAACGAGTATTCGTACTCTCGTATTCAAGCGACTAATCAACGACACGCTGATGGCGAAGATGTGGCGGCGTCCGCGGCGCGTTTTCTCTCGACAGGATCCTCTTCTCGGGAGAAGACCGCGCGCAACTCGCGTCTACTACTACTATACGGGGTGTCCCTTTGTTCCCGGGCAACCCACACGACTCGCATTGAACCCCGTACGATTATAAATTGCCCTGAGAAAGCGCGGCTGGTCTATCCCGCTCCGGTATGCACTCTCGGAGGCACGCGAGAGACAACGCGTGGTATAGGTGAATCGTTCGCGTGAAACATGTACACGAGCAGGGAGACTTATTTACCGGAGGTACCAGGGCCCACTTAACCCGTAACCCCCAGCTTCGTATATCTTGTCGACAATGCGTACCCGATGAATTCAATACTTTCCGTCTCCTTCCCTCAACCCTTTCCCAGCGTAATGAAATTCGTTCTAAGAAATATGACGGTAGCTTTTAACACGTTTTCTCTATACTTTATATTGAATATTTTCTCATATATACAAATATGTCTCTCATATATGATATAGATTGGTATTTTATTTTACTATGTATTTTTTGTCATACATTATTTTATTTTATTTTATTTTATTTTATTCGACAAAGGAATATGATGCTTATTTTATGTCAAGGAATACGGTATGTATGTATATTATCATTATATTAAAAATTTTTAAGTAAATTAAAAATACGATTCTCCTGACACGGGAATAAATTTAAAAAAAAATCGATTTGCTTCGGCTTATTTCTTCATCGCGCGCTATCTCGGCGATCGCGCGTAGGCGGAGCGGAGATCGTCTTGATCGAACGCACGTTCGATCGGGCGCGCTACCGATCCTCGCCGTGCGGAACGGATCAACGGATATCATTGAGCGCCGCGCGATTTCTCCTTGGCGAAGGTAGCGCGATGATGAATCGTGGGTGGACGCGATCGCGAGGTGATCGCACGGAAGAGCATCGATGGCCGTCGAATCGAAAAGTTTTGTACTTGTAGCCGGACGTCGTCGTCGTTGTTGTAGTCGGTCGGTGAAAGTCTCGCAGGATGATTGATATCGTTGGCGTATAGCCCGCTCCGGCTGGACAACACGAGCCTCATCCCTTCACTCTGTCGCCGACACGAGTTTCATCTCATCGGGCTTCCCATCGACATCAATTAGAAAAAAAAAAAAGCGCGATGATGATAATGATTTTACGGAAATATACCGGGACATATATATTTATCTCGTTTAATTAATAGTTAAATATAAGTGAATTCATTTTCCTTCAGTTATATACTTAATAAACCATTTTTTTACATCATCTGCTCAATCATTCATCTTCTTCGAAGTGTTGGGACTGTCAAGAAGTATTATTGAAGCATCCGATTATTAACCGGAGTGCATTTCGGGTCAGTCACGTGTTGATAATGAGATTTGCACGTTTCATTGAAAGTTCTTCTCGCGGCGCCCTTCATTCTCGATAAGACCGTTTCTATAATCCAGCTAGCACTTGGCTTGTTGCAAGAGTATATAGTTGAGAATGACATCATCGACAATCTCCGGCATACACCTAGCGCGTGTAATCGGTGGGCGAAGGCGTATCAGCTGTGTTGTATCTTATTTCCGTCTTATATTCCC